TCAAACCCTAATCTTCTTCCTTATTCAATTTTATGTCTTCATTAATTAACAATTGTTGTGCAGAATCATTCTTGCCATTAAGGTGTGATTGTTTCACTTGAGTGAAGAGTGAAGAACAAAGGATTTTGATTGATTGATTGAATCTTATTCATCAAGATTGATTCGGAATTCTCAAAGTTTTGCGTTAATTTCAACATTGTTTGGATATGGTAAAACGAATGGAGTGAAATGTAGCATAACAGGGTGGAATGGAGTGGAGCGGAATGGAATAGAGTGGAACGGAATGGAATAAAGATATCATTCTATTGTTTGAGTATTTTATGATGGAACAGAGCAATTTTATCATTCCGTCCAAATTAAAAAATACAAAAAGGAATGAAAAGTGATAAAATGGAATAGAATACATTTCATCAGATTTCGCTTCATTCCATCTATTTTTAATTAATAAATAATAAAATTTAAGTTTAATTCAAACAAAGGCTTCCGATGTAATATTAGGTTTGAATCCATAAAAAACTCAAACTTTCATATACCTTCTTTTGTTTATTTTTCATCTTTATCTAAAAGTGAATAGAATATTTTCATTTCATCCTTATTTTTAATCTTTTATTAGTTACTACAAATAGAATGAATGAATAGATTTAATTAATAAATCAATAAATAAATATGAATTTTTATTTAAAAATTAAAATTAAAAGTTTAATAAATATCTACTTATATTTACACCTTCCTCATATAAAAAATGACCATGTTGTTTTTTATGGTATTTCACAAGTGTTTTTTTATAAATAATTGAGTTTAACCAACCGGAATAAATCACTTAGTTATCTTTATGATTAACTTAAAAGTTACAATTTGATTTGTCCGAATTCATTATTGTGATGGGTTGATAGTGAAAAATTAATTGGCAATATATATATATATATATATATATATATATATATATATATATATATATATATATATATATATATATATATATATATATATATATATATATATATATATATATATATATATATATATATATATATATATATATATATATATATATATATATATATATATATATAACTATCCAATAAATTTTTATTTGATGGTAATCACTTTTTTCTAAAATTAAATCAAATTAAAAAAATAAAATAAAAATATTATAAATATTCACACATAAAACAAAGAAAAAAGGGTGATGCACTATTGACGATTATGTATCCCACTAAATTATATTAAAAATTTTAAATTTATTATATAACATGGCAAAATAATATATTTCAATTGGATGAGTGTAATTAAACCCTAAAACAAATTAACAAAACACATCAATTGTGGTCATTCAGCAAGTGACTGATCCTATCTATTTTGGCACCAAATAATAACAATTGCTATTGAAAAAACAGAAAATAAATCCAGTTAAGATCCATCTACATTTTAGGTAAACAACAATGAACCATTCGCAAATGCATTCATCAATCTCAATTAACACAAACAAATTGCGCCTTCATTAATTTTGAAAAAGAAATCAATTCTAAAAAGTTCTATCTATCACTGATTTTTCAGATATTGTGCAATTAATATCATCAAATTTTTACCTTTATTTGAAATTTCCTTTCTGATTTTCTTTTTCTTTCTCTTTTTCTATATACATAAGATTTTTTTATTTCTCTTAATTTGATAATTATTGTGCATTGAATCTCAAACTCAATCGCCATGGCTACCTCTGATCTGTCATTGCTTTTGCCAAGGGTTCTCATCGTTTCTCGACGTACCATTCGCAAGAACAAATTTGTAGATTTTGTTGGTATTAATTTCTCTCTTACTCTTTTTATTTCTACTTATTATTCTTACAATGTTACTCATATTTTAACTTCTCAAATGTAACGCTCTATACTTTTTATTGTTTATTCATTACTTTTGTGTCGTAAAGAAATATAATAGATTTCTTTATGCTTAAGTAGATATCACATCTTACCGGCTCGAGATATTAGTCTCTTTACGCGATATCAGGTTTAAATAAAAAAAACAATAATTATATTGAATAAATTCTAAGTAGTAGTACACTGAATTGAACAGGTGAGTATCATCTTGATTTGATCGTAAGATATGGAGCTGTTCCAATTATTGTCCCTAGAGTCACTGGAATTCACACTCTCTTGGACAGTTTCGAGCCTATCCACGGTGTTCTTCTTTGTGAAGGTGAGGACATTGATCCCTCCCATTATGATGATCCTGAACTCTGTGGACTTACACCTCAAGAGCTTGAGGCTATAAGGGAGCTTCACCCAAGTGATGCTGCCATTGATAAAGAAAAAGACTCCATTGAGCTAAGGCTTGCAAAACTCTGCCTTGAAAGAAATATACCTTATTTAGGTATATGCAGAGGCTCTCAAATTCTTAATGTTTCATGTGGAGGCACACTTTACCAAGATATAGACAGAGAGATAGTTGAGAAAAACCATGAATTTCGAAGAGTGGTTCACATGGACTATCTAAACTATGATGGACATCGGCATTCGATAAATGTTATCGCAAACACTCCTTTGCATGACTGGTTTAAAGATTCTTTTGTGGATGAGAAAATGGAGATCATGGTGAATAGTTACCACCATCAAGGTGTTAAGAGATTAGCACAGAGATTTGTTCCAATGGCATTTGCTCCAGATGGTTTGATTGAAGGATTTTACGATCCGGATAATTATAGTCCTGAAGATGGTAAATTTATTATGGGACTTCAGTTTCATCCAGAGAGAATGAGGAATCATGAAAGTGATGAATTTGATTATCCTGGATGCAGTATGGCTTATCAGGTATATACACTTTCTGTTCTTACTCTTTTTCTAATGCAATTTCTATAAGAAATAAAATTGAAGCATTTTGGTTGTTGGTTATGAAATAGGAGTTTGCAAAAGCTGTAATAGCTTATGAGAAAAAACTTAGCAGTTCAATACTTGTCCCCGAGTCTCCAAAGCTAAATGAGGAACTGGAGCAAAAGCGAAAACAGATTGTGAAAAGCTTTTCAGTCGCTAGAGACATGTATAAGTCCGATTCCCAAGTCAACGTGAGCCAAAGTTCTGTACTTCAACCGGGAGCAGACTTTCTACAGGTTACCCAAAATCTCTACTTTTTACATGGATTATGTCGCTACAGTATATAAAAAAAACATAATGTTGGTTCGTAACGTCTTAATAGCACGGACTGTATTGCTGAATTTTATATACTTTAGTGTCTAGTTCGTATAAACTCAACTTACCTTTATGTGATAATGGTTGGTTTTACAGGCAAGTACAGCACTAAGTTTGCAGCAGGAGAATAGACTAAAGCAGGTTGGTGCGACATATAGAAACGGTTCGAGTTATGCACAGAAGATGAAAATGAATCAAATGAGGGAGAAGGCTGCAAGGAACATGATGTTGAATATGTCTGTGGAACAGTTAACAGAATTGGTGTCTTTTTATGGATTGATGCATCATATATGCTCTGAGACAATTGACAGAAAAATGAATGAACTAGTTGTAGAAGAAAGTTGACAGTAAAATAGTAGAATTATAAGTGTGCAGAAAATTTTTAATTTATTTTTAGTTTGTTTTATCTCCATTTCAAATTAGAAAAGAACACAATGTTATCTTTTTGTTTTATTTCCTTTAGTCAGTTAGTGAAATACTGATTTTTTTTTTCTTTTCTAACTATAAATAGACTTTCAAGTGTGTAAACAAGCCATTATCCATTAAAATGGATTGTGGAGTTTATACCCGTTGGAAATTTATCTTGTCAATTTATCTTGTCAATTTTTAAAGTTTTGGAGTTATTTGAGGTGTATAGAGAATATTATAACGTGTCTTAATGTTATATCCTAAGATCAACTTTGTGTGATGAAATAGACAATGCTTAAGATTGGTGCATATGATCTAAGAGTTGTTGGTTTAAGATTGCAGTTCCTTTTGTTTTCTTGTACTTTTCCGTTCCCTATTAATAAAAAAACAAGTAGTTGCGCAAAAGAAGAATAAAAATATGACCACAGGCTCATGCGAAACACTTGTAGCAGCCACCCTCCATTGTAGATAGCATGTCAAACAAGCCACTAAAGGAATCACGAATTTTGAGGCATATGCCAAGAATATGGTTGAAAAGTCTCAATCTAGACCTTGTTGACTGGATAGAAAATAATTGAGGAAAAACTTGATTTATCATCCAAAAGTCCAATTCTACATCACAAGATATTGTGACAGCATTAAATCCATTTAATAATTTATCATACATAGTAGCCCTAATCTATTGTAACATTTTATGATTATAATTTGAATTTATTTTCTTCAATTAAGCTATAGTATTTCTGCAAGACCCGAAAATTTCACCCTACAATTTTCATTGATATCATAACTCAACAAAAGTGTTCTACTAATAATGCAGCTAACAAAACACAACTATAGTAATCCAGATACAGATTTGGGGCAATTCAAGCATGAGTTACAAATACTTAACAGCAACACCATATGCATTATAGTAAAATTCCCCCAACACATTTTAAAAGCTCCTCCCTATAACGGTGATCATCAGGGCATTAAAAAAGCAGCCTGTTCTGTTCAACAAAACCATACTGACATAGATATATTTAGAAAAGAGGAAATAATCGATGTAGGACTCCGTCAATGTTAGCAAAACAAAACAACCTCGCAACAAACATCGGCCACCACTTGTGAAGCTTCTCTTAAATTTGTACATCCACCATCAACACATTCTGAAACACCCTTACAAACCGCTGCTTGTCGAGAGCTTTGCTTCTTTTATTTCGACTTTTACTCTTTCTGATTCTTTTGCTTATTACAGCAGAAAGTTACAAAGGAGAGCTTAACATCTTTTATACCTTTTCTTTTTTCCTTCATGTCAAAAAGGTGATTAATTCTGATTTCATAAAGTACAACATCTAAGAATTGGGCCAGAGGAGGCATCGGAAAACAGCAGGACCAATTCTTAAGCGGTTACATGCGTGAACCGTGTTCACGCAATCAACGGCTGAAAAACAGGAAATCTGGGTGACTGACCTGAAGCAGTCTTAACCATTTATCAGCATTCTGTAAAAGAGAGTTGGATAATTGGCGCTCGTATCCACCACTTGGAGTCCACAGGGGTCCCTTGAACTTGTATGACGCAAGACCAAAAACAGGTAAAGAGATTTTTGGGACACCATCCATCTCGGTTGGATATGATGGTACAGGAGCCTGCACTCTCTGTGAAGCTGAAAAGGAGAATAATATTTGTTCTATTAAAGCAACAGAGGCAAAATACAAATTGGACAACTGGTTATCATCACATACACTTGTAACATCTTGCAATGATTAATCCATGGAAATAAATTAAGCACTTATAGCTGGCAGTGTAAGCTTAAAAAGAAACATTGGCCATAATTGAACACAACACAAGTCTTTGTGGTAGATGAGGACAAACAATCAACACCGGATATTGGAAAATGAAATTCTGATTTTTATAATCGTAAACAGATGGGGAAAAACATTTCGATTTAAAAAACTTCCGATAACATTTCTTACTCAAAATTAAAAAGAGGTCATTTTGGCCAATAACTTGCTAACAGAAGCAAAGATGAGACATTGTGACAGTAACTACGTATCAAAATAAGCTAATTGTTGTTGATCTAGCTTATACACAACTGTTTCTGCTGTAAGTGCTTCATCTAGTTGTTTATCCATACTGATATCCTTAACACTAAAAGCCTAATACAAAATGTCAATCAAAGTAGGAAATCCATTCATTTAAATAAAATATAATAAAAAATACTCATGTAAAGTAATAGACTGCTCTGTTATCATCATTTTCTCAAACTATGTTATAAAGCAAAATCAACTAAAAATAAGGGAGATCCATCCTACCTCCCACAGGTGTAGAAAGAGAATGGTATGTCAGAAAGCATGCATCAAGATCTTTTAATGTTTGACCCATTGGGATTCGGTATATAGGATACCTACAAACCGAACATAGAACCAGGTCAGTCACATGTACATATGTGTAAGCAGAATGTCAAAGTACATAAATAAAGAAGAATACCATGCTACAGATATCCAACTTGATGATAGTATATCACAACTTCTAAGTGTCAGCAGTTGAGGGAAACGAAAAGCAAGGTCCATCATCTATCCAACACAAAAAGATGTAAATTAATCAAAAGCTAAACAAAGTTATGGAAATAACAAACTGCCATGGATTTGGCAATGCAGCAAACTATCACACCTTATCAGCCAAAGGTTCACGGCCATAAGGAGTGTCCCGTTCAAAATACTCAAATAGCAAGTAGCCCGGAGAATTGACAGATTCACCATCATCACTAGAAAAGTCATCTTGTGGGAGAGTATACTGATTTCTCACAGATAATCTACCCATCCAATGAGACAAGTCATCCGAGAGATGGGGAAGATTCCTTTGTTCCCTATATCCTCTAGCAGGTTCACAATCACTGCTACCATCACTACTTGAATCCCTGAAATCACTATCACTATCCTCGCCTAGTTGCCTATAACAGAACAAAACAATAACAAATTAATATGGTATTATGGGTTGCCCTATAGAATGAATGTTGACCAAAAATCAATCTTCCAAGAAGGGCCAAAGTAAGCAATATACCTTGACTTTACAGATGGCTTGGAAGTCTGGGCATAAATTTGAATCCCAGAAAGATAAGGAACATAGTATTGAACAACACTATCTTTGTCATTTAGTACAAGCGGCACTCCAGCACCGTAAGCACTCCACTCCCGAAATGATTCCCACAAATCACCAAGAACAAAGTAAGGTGGAACCTCCTCACTACACGTCCTAAAGCCTCTTGTGTTCCTCTGCAGTATCCAATTTACAATCAAAAAAAGAAAAACAAATCCTCACATATATAACCATACAATTCCCTAATCACATCACACTTTTTATCAAAGAAACTCATAGATGTCATCAATATTTTCTATTGAAAAATTGCTTCCAGGGAATCACATTTCAACTGGGTGTTGTGATTTCATATTCCTGGCATTTGATAACTCCGTTGCCTTTTGGACATAAATTAAAATGCAGATAAAATAACGCAAGAGCTGAAAAAGCATGTGACTTGTGCTTACTTTACAGTGGTTATAAAAAACTTTAGGCGAACATCACCTGCGTTTTAAATCGTTTAACTAACAATTAACAATAAATAACATTTAATTAACAATATATAACATTTAATAATGCAATAGATATGATTCTCTTCCATAAACACTTCACTATCTACTTACTTTCTATTTCTCATGTAAAAATAATTAAAAAAACTGAAAACTAGCTTATTTCCTCAAACATAATGAGGAAAAAAATAACTGACTTGGAGAGCCACGGCCTGAATTGAAGATGTATCAAAATCAAAAACTGTTGCCAACCGATGAAAACCAAAAACCATTACAACCGATGAAAACAGATTTGACTCTACATATAGAAGCTGCCAGATGATGAACCAGAGCCCTCACAGTTATTTTTCATTGACTTCTCAAAGCCATTTATGGCCATTACACCCCATCAAAAGCTTAACTATATGTGATAATATTAATTTATTAAAATTCATTATCTATGTGCTTAGTGATTTTACTTCCTAATTGAATGCATCGGTCACAAACAAACACACAAACATTAAAACAAAACTTCAGATATTCCAACAATTAAACATACTAAATCAAGCACACAAAAAAACCTTAACTAAACAACAAGCTCCAGTAACTAAAATAGAAAAAAAGAACAACCTTAGAAAGATGCTGAGCATGCACAGACGGCGTAACCGATTGCAAAAACCTTTCCAAGTTACTCAACCGCTTCACCTCCGTTTCACACGACGGCACCGCTACTACTTTCTTGGTCTCTTCAGACCCAACCCGGTTATTCTCACGCCTCTTCTCCTTCTCAACCGAATCCACCGATTTCTCTCTAACCACCGCCGACGAAGACCTACTGGCCGTCACATCGCTATGAGCTCTACGAATCCTCTCATTCTCCGCTGTGTGTAACAACCGGCGAGCTTGCGGCGGATTATAAAACCGATCCTCACCACGACCACGCGAAAAGTTCATGCTAGTACCCAACATTCCCAAGGGTGCGAAAAAAATAAGACCCAGAAATCAAAACGGAACTTTTATAAATGGGTGTTAGAAAAACCTCGAGTGTAGTCAACGGTGTTTCGATGTTACGAATTTCGATAGAAACGAAGAGAATCGATCTATGGAGATATAGAGATTAAGATTGAGATTTTTAGGGTTTGTGGAAATTGGGGGAAAGTGTTATAAGACTTGAATCGGAAAAAGCGAAGTGAGTGTTTGAGTTAAATAAAAAAGGGGGAACGTGGAGAGAGTCAGAAAATGGATCTGGTGTTGGACACAGTGGAGGTAGAAGGGTAGGGACGAAGGGTAAATGAGTAATTTCACAACAGGGAAAACGAAGAGTAAAAGAAACAATAAAGAAAGAGAAATTAAAAAAATAAGTATTATTGAGATTGGATAGTCCCCTTTCATTCAAGGCCAGCCACGAACTAAACGTTTTATTATTATTATTCTATTTTTAATATTGGTTATTTTTTAATATTTAAATCTATCACATTTATTACACATAAAACTTAAAATATTCTTATTTTGATATATCATCATTTTTGCGATAATAAATGATGATCGTTTATAATTCCAAATTTTACTTTTCTCTCTCTTCTTTCATCTCTTTTCAAATTTCAACTCACACGCCAAATTTTCCTTTGCTCTACATTTTAAAAATCTCAAATTTTAAAACTTCCCCCTCTTTTTACTTGTGCTCCATTTTCAATCATCTTCTTTGATTTTTTTTCTCTCCTCACTATTTATGTTTCGGACTCTTTCAGTATCATTTATTTTTCTTCATTTTTCTTCAAAAGATTTATGGAAAATTGGAACTTTACTTAAAAGTACAAACAAATATCAAAATTGAGAATTTTTCAAGAGAAATTTAAAAAACAAATTCTTCTTTATATAAAAAAAAAATTTTAAAAAAGTTATTTTACACATTATTGCGGTAAGAATCGAATATTAAACTATTAATTGACTTGAATCACAAATCATTGAAGTTCACCACCGAACTTTGATTTATCCAAAGGAAAGGGTAAAGATCGAAGAAAATCCTAAGTACGTTGTGTAATAACAAAGCTAAGAACTTAAGGTTCGAGGATTGGTTATATCTAGGAAAGGTGCTAGCATCCTAAGTATCTGTAGTACTTTACATGAACCTTTTATTTGTATTGTGTTATGCTAAAGTTTGTTTGCTAAGGAAAAAAATGTGTTAAGGGAAAGACCTGAGGTATCTACAAAGTATGTTCGTTAAGACATCGCATCTCATGCCTACGTATCCTAACTATGATGAAATTAGAGTATTCGTAGTTCACCTAACTAGGGTTAGTTTCTCTCGCCCCAGTGCGAGAGAAAAAATTCTCGATCGCACTAGGGCTAGAGAAAAGGGAAGTTAGTTGTTAGTAAGCTCGCCAAGGATAGGGAATCACGTGCCTACGTATCCTCATTAGGAAATGAGTAATCAGAGCGTCTGTAGTTCACCTAACTAGGGGCGAGGAACTCTTGATTGTGATCAAGGCTCCAAGGCGAAAGTAAAAGTCCATGGCAAGACACCTACCTAGAGTTAGGCAACTCTAAGCCTAAGACTATGTTAAAAGGGAAGGAAATGGCTATGCTATGACAAGACACTTACATAGAGTACGACGACTATAATCCTAAGGCTAGGATAAAAGGGAAGGACCTAAAGAGGTTTTAAGGAAACGGTGGACAAAGTTATCCTAAATATGACATGGCAGTCAACAGAGGGGGTCATTTTCTTTGGAAATGATGATTAAGATGAAACTCTAAATACAAAAAGAAAGGAAAATTTATGGGAGATTGAATCTTAATAGTTATCATACAAATGATGGTCCTAAAATTGAGAAAAAAAGGGAAAATGCTAACCTAATGTTGTCATGCAAATATTGAGAATCTAAAATCTACCATACTTTGATCTTAATCGAAAATTAAGTCGAACTAGGGGATACTAAGGAAACATGTGAATACACAAGCTAACAAGTAATCAAAGCACAGTTCAAAAGTCAAAATAAATTATCAAGAAAAACATGGAAGTAAAAAGGCATAGAATAGAATCAAACGGGGAGAGAAATATTATGACATAAAAGAAAGTGCATGAATTAGATTAATGATGTACGCAAGATATCAACAGAAGAATAATTATAATAAGAATCGAAATTATAAGTTCAAATAGGAAGAGTCAAAACTCCAAGCTACGAAATCAAGTAAAGTCACAAGTTAGTAGTTAGACCGACAAGGAAATTAACTAAATAAAACCTAAATATTTTAAAATTCAAATCCAAAAATTAGTTAGAGAGAAATAAAGAAAATATTTTTTTAGTCTTCATTATTTTAACAAATAAATTAAATAGGAAAATGTCTTCCTAAAATAAAAATTTCTAAGTAAAATCAAATATTAACGATTAAAATAAATCTAATTAATATGAATATTAGTAAAGATGATTAACAAAATATTTAACAAGAATTATTAACAGAATAACAACACAAATGCTAACAAAGATTATTAGCGGATTTATTAACAACATTAATAGCAAAATGATTAACAAAAATAAATAACAAAATACTAACAAGAATTATAGCAAAAATAACAAGATTATTTAAAAACATTTAACCAAAATAGTAACAGAATAATTAATAAAGATAGTTAACTTAAAAAAAAAAAATTAGTGGAAAATACTAATGAAAATTAGGAAGGGTGGTGAGATAGAAAGTGTAAGAATCATACGAGGGTTTGTGTAAATCAAACACACACGACCCTAAGCCCATGTTTCAAATACCAAATAAAACAAAATAAAAAAAAAACAACAAATTTAAACAAACCGTACAAAATATGGTGAAACACATAAACTAGGTCATAAAATTTGGAAAACGAAAAAAGAAAATACTGTGGAATTCCTCTCCAACCTTTCCCTGCGTTGCGCGTCCGTCTAAAACTCTCCTCACTCAGATTCAAACTTGTTCATTCTTTTCTCCTACCAATTCAAGTTCGACCCGTTTCACTTTGCTTCGGTTTTGGATTGTTTGTGCTTGTTCTGTTTCATATTCATCTCTAATTCATCTCATTCTTCTTACTTCCTTTTTGGTTGTTGTAGTTTGTGGGTTTTGAGGGACACAAAGGGTTGTGATTTGGATTAAAAGTTGTGATTGAGTTTGAAGAATATGGTGGTCCGAAGGTGTATGAAGAAGGTTAGTTGAAAAGGTTTTGAGCAATGGATGGTTGAGTGATTTGAGTTGAAGAAGGACAAGTGTTGCAAGGTGTTGGTTTAAAGCTTTGAGGTTGAAGAAGGATTTTGGGGAGAGATTTTGAGATGAGGATTATCATACCCCAAATTTTACCCTTAGATCACTGATCGTTTCGCATTTCATTTTAGTATATTTTCCGTTTTAACTAACCACTAACCAGTTTGCCTAGTTTGTTCGTTTTTGCAGGCATGTCGAAGAAATTGGAAAATAATCTTGTTGGCCCTTTAATTCCCGTGGGTGTGGATGTACTACCAGATTACGGTCATTTGATGGTTACCACGCCATATCATTCTCAGAGGATCCCTAAGAAACTAGAGTCTCCTGTCTCTCGATTTATACGACTTTGGTTTGGGAAATTGATTGGAATTCTTCAGTACAGTTCATCCAAATTTGAGAATCTGATTACTAGCCGCCAGATGAAAGGTTGGAATTTTAATCGAGTTATGAACCGTTTTGATTTGAGAGCGTTAAAGTATGGACGGATTGGGATTTGAATCGGTGCGGGAATTATTTCCAAAGAGATTATCTAATTAAGTTTAAGGTCGTATTCACTGCTTTTTATTACCGGTTATGAGTTAATATTTAAAAGTACAGTTTGAGCCAATTCACGGCTTGCGTCGGATTCATGATGGATATTAGTGATTTAAAGCGATTGCAAGTTGTCAGAGGTTTCAAATTCGGATTGCAAAAGTTAAAGTTATTCGGAATGAAATACGGTTTGATATTATTCGGAAATTCGAGTTCACTTTTTATTCGAGTTTGGATTCATATACACATTCCATTACAAGGATCAGGAATTTACATTTTTTATGGAATTACAAGTTCAAGTCCTAATCTTTGATGGTCGCGAAGAGGGCGGCCACAGTCGGGTCCGCTCCGGCGGGGACAGGAATAGGCTGGAACGCAGCTGGGCTCCGGGGTCGGCGGACAGCATGGTGTGCAGCTTCTGCGGACGAAGGAGAGGCAGTCCGACCGTCTCTCTCGTCAGTCTCCGGGAGGCGGGATGTCTCTGTTTGCTTGCTACCGTTCGCGGCAGGGGTGAGGATAAAGTCGGGAATGGCATTGTCGTGGTGCGGGCTAGCCATGATCGTGGAGTGTTGGTGAAACTTTGGTTCGCTGCTCGGAGGAACGGGGGAATTTCAGATTCTCACAGACGGCGCCGCTGATCTGACCTGATCAGAAGGGGATCACTAGCTGGCCACACTCTGTTGGGCTGCTGCCTGTTCATCGGTGATGAGGAGGAGGAGGGGGTGTACCTGCAAGGCACTCCGATGCCAAAGTAAGTATATGGGCAGAGTGGTCACAAGCACAGAAAAAGGGGTAAGAAGTGAATTACCTGACCCTCTTGTGAAATAGGGTATTTATAGAGAGACCCCAGCAATGGGCCAACGGTCACTTGTGTTGGGCTGGATTGCCAGGCCCAACCCAGGTGACTGCAAGGGCTTACACGGTGTAGTGAAGACCAGGACGTGATCTTCGCCCTAGTCCAACTGTCCCGTGATCTCCGGAAAGTGGGTCTGACCTGCTCTTTCGGAGGTGGGCAGCCGGTTGGTGACGTGTCCCCGCGGAGGGGAACACGTGGAGAACGTGCGAATGACACGTTGACCTCCTCGCGGAGGGGAGCTCGTGAGTTTCTCCAAAGGTGTGTTATTCTCCCCGCGGAGGGGAGCACGCGAGGGTGTGGGGGAGACATGCTGTCCTGCTTGTTGGCATGGGGATTCTGTCCGCGGAGGGTTGTT